GGACACATGCACCCCAATATTTATAGCAGCACTATCAACAATAGCCAAAGTATGGAAAGAGCCCAAATGTCCATCGACGGATGAATGGATAAAGAAGATGTAGTACATATATACAATGGAGTATTACTTGGCAATCAGAATGAAATCTTGCCATTTGCAACTACGTGGATGGAACTAGAGGGTATTATGCTAAGTGAAATTAGTCAGAGAAAGACAAATATCATATGACTTCACTCATATGAGGACTTTAAGATACAAAACAGATGAACATGAGGGAAGGAAGCAAAAATAATATAAAAACAGGGAGGGGGACAAAACATAAGAGACTCTTAAATATGGAGAACAAACAGAGGGTTACTGGAGGGGTGGTGGGAGGGGTTGTGGGAGGGGAATGGGTTAAATGGGTGAGGGGCTTAAGGAATCTACTCCTGAAATCATTGTTGCACTATATGCTAACTTGGATATAAATTAAAAAAAAATAAATTTAAAAAATTGGAGGGAATAAAGCATTCAAAATCAGCTTCTAGAAATGCTTTCATAGTCTCCCTCCTTGACTGTGTGGACTCCCATCCTTCATACCCCCATAGCACTCCATGCATTCATCATATTCTATTGTCTGTCTCCTCCTTAGAGTATTTAAGGTAAAATCCATTTTTAGAGTCTGACATTTATTGTGTGACCTCAGACAAATTAGTTTCTCTAAGTGTCAATTTTTATAACTGCAAAATGGAAATGAAAAATAGTACTAACCTTTAGGGTTGTAATGAGGATTAAATGAGATAATGTATTTAACTCCAGTCTAGCACTGTGCTTGTCTTATATTAAGTCCTCAAAAATAAAGTGTTGTTATTTTATTAGCATTACTATTAGGTCTTTAGTCTCTGTGTTCTCATGCCCAGTATAATGCTTGGCTCATTACGCGTGTTCAGTATTTGTTGGATAAATGAATGAACACTGCCCTCTGCTCCCATTTTGTTGTTTTTACTGGGCATCATGTAAAAAGAACTTGTGGGGTGCCTGGGTGGCTCAGTGGGTTAAGCATCCACCTTCAGCTCAGGTCATGATCTCATGGTTCGTGAGTTCATGCCCTGCGTTTGGCTCTGTGCTGACAGTTCAGAGCCTGGAACCTGCTTTGGATTCTGGGTCTCCCTCTCTCTCTGCCACTCCCCTGCTCGCTCTCTCTCTCTCTCTCAAAAATAAAATAAAACCTTAAAAAAATTAAAAAGAAGTTGTATCTGAGGAAATAATAAAATGGTTAAGGTCAAGGAGAGTCATAGCTTGAAGATTACAGATGAGTAGATCTTGGACTCCTATGAGGGCAAAATAGAAATCTGATCTCAGATCTGTGGATTTTCTTTCTTTTTCTTTTTCTTCTTTTTAGGAATCTTTGCACTCAACGTGGGCCTCAAACGCACAACCCTGAGATTAAGAGTTGCATGCTCTTCCAACTGAGCCAGCCAGGTGCCCCACAGATCTGTGGGTTTTCTTAATGTATGGGTAGGGGTAGTTCTGTTAACCTGTGCCAACAGTCCTTGTTCTTGTGCCTTGGCTATTACTGCCCCACCCCCATCCTGGTAACATACCTGTGTTTAGGCTTTAGGCCAAACATTTCATGGTCAAACCTTTGGTTCATCTTTTTCTCCAAAAAATTGTTTGCTAATGATTGACCACAGATCTTCAAAAGAAAATGTTTAAATCGAGAAGAGACTAACACATCAAGGGGATATCCATAGTCTGCTACACGATTCAGGACCCAAGACCCTCTCCTGGTGCTGAGGAAAACCTGGGGCATGGAAAAAAAAAATGGTTTGCTTTTGCCATTCTCTGGCTCATAATCCTTTGATAGCACCTGCTCTCTTCAAGATTAAGTCCAGACTCATTCATCTCTCTTTTTAGTCCCTGCACGATCTTTGTTTTATTTTCTGCAGTTTTCCTTCTCAAACACTATGTGTACAATTAGATTAGGGCATTCACTAAGAATGTGTCTTGCTCTGAACCACCACTGCATTTCTGCTTAATGGCATTATGCCTCCTTGAAAAGTCGCCTATCCTCTTAATTCTCCAAAGCCTATTTATTGTTAAGATCCAGATCAAGTCTGCCTCCTCCATAAGACACTACTGACCATTCTGGCTGACAATTTTCTCTCCATCCTCTGAGCTACTCTAGCACTTACCACCTGTCAACTCATTTAAAATTATGGAGCAGTTGAGCTGAAATCAATTGCACATCATTTAATTCAAAACCTTCAGTCTTTTTTGCCTTTGACATTGTTAGCACTATTACCAACACAAAACAAAACACCCCCAAAAACCCCAAAACAAACCCACACCTGTTATTTATCATTTATATCCATATTAAACTTTTTACACTCATTTCTGTCTCTCCAAATGTGTTTCCTCCACGGTGGGGGGGGTCTAGCATACACATCTTCTAGTCTCCCCAACACATCATCCTCATTGTTTCCATTTATTGTTTCCATTTATTGAGAATTATGACCTGTAAGTGATTGTGCCAGGGCCTTTATCTATATTTTATTTAATCAATACAACAGTCCCTTGAGGTAGTTCTTCTTATCCTCATTTTATGCATGAGAAGATGAATAACTTGCCTGAGATCATACAGCTAGTAAATGGAAGGGCTGAATATCCAACTCAGGTCTGAGTCACCCCAAATCCTGTGCTGCTGAAGAATTGTTTCACTGACTGCTTAAAGGAAAAACTGTAGATCGCTAGTCAAACAACAGGAAGCTGATAAAGTTTTGATATTCAGTTACTTGGCAAAAGTACCTCCTTCTCTACAAGACTTTCTGGGGATGTAATTACCTGCTTTATGGTCTTTTGTCTAAGCTCTTCCATAAAACGGTGACCTGTCTACAGAGGGATGATAATGTACTTTACACATACCTTCTCACTGATGGTAACCGCATGGGCTCTCATTATTGAGCACTTTGACATATCATAGTCTAAGTATGCATGGTCCTAGGAATCACACAGCTTTATGTGCAGTCTGTATAACTTTTGTTATAAAAGTATATGAGTCCTATAAATGCTCAGAGTCTCAATTAAAAGGCTCCCTACATACAAAATTGTGACAATAATACATCGCAAGGCTGTTGTCAGAATTAGTGTTTTTGCAAAGGGTGTGGCATATGGTAAACATTCAATAAATGCTTAATGGTTATCATCATACTTCTTATTTCAGTTTTCTATCTATACCTTGTTTTAACACCATATTTATAAGAAAAAATGGATTTATAAGAAAAAAATGTGAGGAAAGTTGTTTTATAAGAAACAGATATGTTCTCTTCACAAAAGCATTATACCACAAGAATTATTATACCAAAACTTCCTTGATATACTGAAACTTACAGATCCACTTAAATTTTTTGATTTACAAACAAATTCTAATAAATACAATTTAATACATAAAGCAAAAAGTTAGAACCTGGCAAGTGAGTGTCTTTGGCTTGCTTTGTGGGATGTCGGCACTGCCCCTGCCACACAGACATGGTTTTGCTGTGCATTGTCCCGGCCTTTCTCAGACACAGCCACCTTATCTCCACCTGCTCTAGATGCTTTGTTCTTTGGCAATCTACAGTTCCTCAGTGCATGGAAGTCTCAGCGCCCTTATAACTGACCATTCAACGTGTTTGGATCCCTACCATATACCTTGCACAATCTTTCATCATTACACCTACACACGTTTTAACCCTTTTTTTAATACCAATTTCCTGATAAAGCTTGTTGAATTGATGCATGGAATAACATATGAAATTACTTTTGTGGTGATGGATGGGGATAATACTGAGAAGTGTTATTGAATGGAGTTTCTGAGTAAAGGTCACTTAACAAAGTTGCAGCATTAAACTTCTATTGAAAAATAGTAATTTAAAACATATTTGTGGAGAAACACAGCTTAATTAAAGTTACTAGAAAACAACCAGACATTCCCCTATTGCCAATAAAGTTATGATTCAATAAAGACACGAATAACAAAATGTAACAATGACACATCTTTTTCTAGGAATTTACAATGAAGGCACTCTCTTCCTAGTTCAAAATCTATGATAAAAAACAAAACAAAACAAAAAAGACCTCTAGGACATCGAAATTGCTTTAGGGTGAATGTCCTTCTATTACTGAACTGTATGCAGAGCTGAGGTGAACTTGCATGTACCACAGTGTGGATGCTTTCCATACTGATATCCACGTTATCTTCGGAAAGATTAGACTGCTTCTTTTTTTCCATTTGGGGAGAGAAGAGGAAAATTCCCCCACCATCCTATGAGCACAAAGCCTTCAGCTAAACCAGTGTGCTTTCCTTCACGTAAGACTGTGGCACTTCTGCTGTCCTAAACAAGAGCCACACTCTGAAGGCTGCATTTGACCAAACTCCCCAAGGAACTGCATGGTCTTTAAAGTCAGAGGCACATTCAGAAGAGACAGCTGATTGGGATCACTGGGATTCTTTAGTGTGAGGTCAACTGGATGATGGGAATCTAACAGGGAATGTTGGCTCCCTCATATCATCAACATAATGTTGCCAACTGAGGTCACAGAGCCAAGCCCTGTGTTTGCTGCTATATGGGCTATATGAAGAGGTATTTATACTCTATGTTGGGTCCACATACAGCTTCTTTGGTGAAGCAAAGTAATTTACTGATTCAAACCTGCTTGGCTGTGTGGGAAATTTCCACAGCCAGATCCCCTCCAGAATTTCCAATGCCAATTACAATGACTCTCTTTCCAGTGAAACTCTCTGGATTCTTATAGTCCCGGCTATGGAAGTACTGTCCTTTGAACTTCTCAATTCCTGCAAGGGAAGGGAAAAGAATTATCGGATGAGGTTTATCTGCTATCATTTGTCAAATCATTCATTCTGTTAGCGGTGTGTAGAGTTTAAGCACACATCTCCACATAGTCTCCCTTTACACAGCTGCACTCTTGCCTTCTGAATATATTTGCCTATTTTCTTTTCTCACAGTCTCAGAGCAGAATCTTGTGATTTCCTTATCATGAATAGTTGGCTTAACTCAGGATATGTTTATATTTTGGACTTGTGGACTCCCAAATCCAAACTCCTTCAGAAAATCTCCATTACCTTTTGTCTTTTCATCCTCTTTAAATACCTACTTTTGGGGTGCCTGGGTGGCTCAGTTGGTTAAGCCAACTGACTTGATTTCCCTCAGGTCATGATCTCACGGTTTGCAGATCAAGCCCTGAGTCAGGCTGCTCCATGCCGAGGGTGAGGAACCTGCTTGGGGTTCTCTCTCTCCCTCTCCCTCTCCCTCTGCCCCTCCCCTGTTCCTGTGTGCACACACACATGCTCGGGTGCACTCTCTCTCTCTCTTTCTGTCTCAAAAGAAATAAACTTAAAATTAAATTAAACACATCCATTTCAATTGGAGTTTATATGTTTTCATATACTCTAGAATATAATAAATAGAGTGCTTTGTTTTTTTCAAAATGAAAATCCAGGTCAAAGACTATAATTAACTTCTTTCTTGAAGTTTTAATTTCTTCCTTAGAAACTCAATATTCATTTGTTTCCTCAATTGCTGAAAAATCCTTCAACCTTCAAGTTCATGTTCTTTCTTTTGATCCTTAGAAAAACTAAGGTTGTTGTGAAACCAAAGATAGAGCCTTCTAATTTTTCTCTAGTCCCCGAAAATGTTATTTCTGCCTCCCAAATGGCAATAATCAAAGTCACCCCAACATCTTTTAGGGGAACATGTAGAATTATTATAAGCCCTTTTTTCATCCCAAGGTAGGAATCACTTAGACCACCATTTTCCCATTCCTCAGAGATCAATCACGGGCATGGCACACAGGCTTCCCTCCTTGTAGACTACTCACCAGGGAAGCTTTCCAAGGGTAAGTGAGCATTGGTGTGATGGCCGGTGCAAACCATGACTCCATCAAAGACATTTACCTCCTTTTCCCCTTCAGATTCTGTAACTACCTCCCATTGGCCTGAAGTGGAGAAATCAGGCTGCTTCTTCACACTGCACACAGTGGTCTGAAAGAAAAGTGATAGCTACGGGAGACTGTAACCATAGCCTGTACAGTGGACATCTTCCCTGACATGTCTCTCTTTGCAGGGTATTAACACATATGATATCACATATGATGTCACAAGTATGATATCACATAATAGAGCTAATGCAGGAATATTTAATTTTCATATTTCACAAATAAGAACTTTTTTGTTTGGGGCTGGGGTCAGCGTGAGAAAACTCCCGTGAGGCAGGCTAAATAAAATGGCAGGATAATGCCACACTCTCCCCTGCTTCTAGAAAAGTGCAAATTACTAGTTCTCTTAGACCAGTACCTAAGATGTCATGCGACACTCGAGTAGAACTTCGGCTTCTCCAGTGCTTCTGAGACACCTCATGCATTAAGTGCCTATTCCTCCCCTGACCTCCAGACAAGTCCTATTTGAAAGTTGTTGAGGGGTGCCTGGGTAGCTCTGGGGCACCTGGGTGGCTCAGTCAGTTAAGTGTCTGATTTCTGTGCAGGTCATGATCTTGCGGTTCGTGAGTTCGAGCCCTGCGTCAGGCTCTGTGCTGACAGCTCAGAGCCTGGAGCCTGCTTCGGATTCTGTGTCTCCCTCTCTCTCCGCCCCTCCCCTGCTCATGCTCAGTCTCTCTCTGTCTCAAAAATAAATAAAACACTAAAAAAAAAATTTAAAAAAAAGTTGTTGAGAGAGTAGATCCAAATAGTTCTCATCACAGGGGGAAACAAAAAGGTAGAAGATTTAGGCTTTTTGCCAGTTGTCAGAAATACCTGTGTTGTTGTTGTTGTTGTTGTTGTTGTTTTGTTTTTTATGGCCATGGTTAAGGATGACAGAAAAATCATGGAAGACTTAACAGTAAGGAACCATTGGAGTGATCTAGTACAACCATCTTGTTTTACAAACAAGAAAATTTTTACAAACAAGAGACATCAAAGTTTAGGAACTTACTTGCCTGAGGTCACAAGTTGATTAGTGGTAGAGCAAAGACTAGGACTCAAATTTTCATTCCCCATTTCAGTGTTCTTTCTTCTACACCAGAGTTAACTTCTTGGCTTCCTCAATAAGTTCCCGATAACTGCTTCACTGGGTTGTTGTGATCACATAAAACTAATGCATTGGCAAGTACTTCAGAAAGTATAAAAGGCTAAGCAGTAGCAGGTAAGTTGTGGCGGACTGAGAAGGTTTTAAGTTCCCATATCTGTCAGTTCCCCTCTCTAACTGGGAAAACATTTCCCCTCATTTGTTTTATTGCAATTAAATAGTATAAAATGAAGGAATGGAACCATTCTGGCAGGTGGCTTCCAAGATCTGAAGCCCAAAATATACAGAAAAAGGACCTTTCCATGGATATATTTCAGGCACAGAGAAGACATAAGAATAGAGTTGTTGTCTGGATAGGATAGATATATGGGCATATTAAGCCAGTCTTTACTTGTAAACACTGGTAAATGAAACCACATTATTCATTTATTTGACAACTTCAAACACAAAGACACTCACAAAATTTCCTACCTTCAATCGAATATATTTTAGAAGATCAAATTCTTTGGCATACATCCTGAAATACTCCAGGACCTGGGAGTTGTGCATGAAGTTAGGATAATGATCTGGGATGGGATAGTCACTGAAGCACATCATCTCCTTAGAAGTGTTGATGATCACTGATTTGTAAATGCTGGCCCTTCCTTCTTCAGGATTTTCCTACAGTAAATAAGAAGCATTCATAGCAACTTGAGAATTAACTTTATGGTTTATAAACAGTCACTAAACATTTGAAAAAGTTTCTGAAAGAAATGCCAATGGAAAAGTTATACAGACACATAACATCCCTTCATATCTTCAGGTATTTGTGCCCTTGGGTAGTCTCTTCCCCTTGAATCTGAGTGGTCTCTATTACTTGCTTTTGACCAACAGCATGAAGTTGGAATGATACCCAATAGCTTCCAAGACAGTCCTAAGGAGTCTTGCAGCTTTTGCCCTCTGTCTCTTAGAAAGCTTGATCTGGCAGGAGTCAGCAGTTATGTAAGAAGTCCAACTACCTTAAGCCACCATTCTGTGAGTAAGCCCAAGTCAGCCACATGAAGAGAATGTTTGGGAAACAGAGATATGCAGCTAGCCCTTGGAAATTCCATTTATCCCAGCTGAAGTTCTAAATATGTGAGTGAAGAGACCATAGCAGAAAATGAATTTGGAGACATCTAAACTATAATTTTCTTTAAAAAAATTTTTTTAATGTTTATTTATATTTGAGAGAGAGACAGAGAGAGAGAAAGAGAAAGAATGTGAGCAGGGGAGGGGCAGAGAGAGACGGAGACAGAACCTGAAGCAGGTTCCAGGCTCTAAGCTGTCAGCACAGAGCCTGACGTGGGGCTTGGACCCATGAGCCATGAGATCATGACCTGAGTTGAAGTCGCACACTTAACCAACTGAGCCACCCAGATGCCCCTAAACTATAATTTTCAAATCTATGTAGGAACACTGAAAATGGCCTATGATACAATTTTTAGTTAAAAAGGTAATATTACAAAATTAAATTCACATTCTCACCACCAAATGCATAAAACTATGTATGCATAGGGCAATTGTATACCTATGTCTACCCACATTTATATAATTATACATTGTATAAGTTTTCTCCTGTTAGGTAGTTCTCTCTGAATATATTTCACTTATTTATTTTTAATTTTTTTAATGTTTATTAATTTTTGATACAGAGACAGCACAAGCAGGGGAGGGGCAGAGAGAGAGGGAGACACAGAATCGGAAGTAGGCTCCAGGCTCTGCTGTCAGCACAGACAGGGCTGTGCTGCCCAGCACGACGCAGGGCTCTAACTCACTGACCGTGAGCTCATGACCTGAGCTGAAGTCAGACACTCAAATGACTGAGCCTCCCAGTGCCCCTATTTCATTTATTTTTAAGTCAGTATAGCCTGAAAATAGGAAAAACAAGTTGATTTACGAAGGAGGTAGTATTTTTTTCTTCTGTTTTTGTGAAATGTTGTTTATATAACGCCCGTACATGACTTTAAAAAAAAAAAAAGCCTTCAGCAAACTAAGAAAAGAGAAAATTTCTTCAATTTGATAAAAACAACTGACAAAATACCTACAGCTAACTTCATAACTTAATAGTGAGAAAATGGACAATTTCCCCCTACAATTGGGAACAAGGCAAAGATGTCCTCTCTCACCACTCATGTTCAACACTATACTAGAAATCCTAGTTGGTGCAATAAGACAGGAAAAGGAAATAGTGGCTGTACCAGATTGCATTCCCACTAACAATGCAAGAAGGTTCCCCTTTGTCCACATCTTCACCAGCACCTGTTGTTTCTTGTGTTGTTGATTTTAGCCATTCTGACAAGTGTGACATGATATCTCGTGTAGTCTTCATTTGTGTTTCTCTGATTATAAGTGATGTTGAGCATCTTTTCATGTGTCTGTTGGCTATCTGTATGTCTTCCTTGGAAAATGTCTATTCATGTCTTTTGTCCATTTTGAAATTGGATTGTTTTTTGGATGTTGAATTTTATAAGTTCTTTATATATTTTGGATACTAGCCCTTTATCAGATATGTCATCTGCAGATATCTTCTTCCATTCTGAAGGTTGCCTTTAGTTTTCTTGACTGTTTCCTTTGCTGTGCAGAAGCTTTTTATTTTCATGAGGTCCCCAGAGTTTATTTTTGCTTTTGTTTCCCTTGCCTTAGAAGACATATCTAGAAAGAAGTTTCTATGGCTGATGTCAAAGAGGTTACTGCTCATGTTCTCCTCTAGGATTTTTATGGTTTTATGTCTCACATTTAGGTCTTTAATTCATTTTGAACTTTTTTCTTTAAAAAAAATTTTTTTAAACATTTATTCATTTTTTAGAGTGAGAGAGACAGAGCATGAGCCGGGGAGGGGCAGAGACAGAGGGAGACACAGAATCAGAAGCAGGCTCCAGGCTCCAAGCTGTCAGCACAGGGCCTGACGCAAGGCTCGAACTCACGAACTGTGAGATCATGACCTGAGCTGAAGTCGGACACTCAACTGACTGAG